ATTTAAAAAAAAAAAAAAAAAACTTCTTTGTCATTTTGCCTTTTGATCAATGCGTGTGTACTAATAGGATTAAAAGATTTGATTTGTAATTCAGTGAGCTAATAAGACCCTCGTAAAATTTAAGTCTGTAAATCCAAAATCGTATAAGCATCAATTAAACCATTTTCCCTTAAAATATTAAATTCAAGTAAAAAAAAATTTCCTTTTTTTGGTATGTGACATATCTCTTGAATATTGATAAAACCCTCAAACTAAAAAGACCTCAATTTCAACAAGCAAAATGACAAAGACTTTAGAGTCAACGAGTCAACTTTTCACAAACAAGTTGTAAAAGTCACGGGTTCTGACTAAATCATTAAATTAATTTGGGAAAGTGATTGGACTATAGTATAAAAAATATTTTATTATTAATCGTCTCACAAAAAAATTCAACAAGTTGGAACTTGGAACAAATAAATATCAATTAAATTATTTAGTGGATTTAACCTAATATTAGTTGTTCTAGCATATGATAATGTCATTGATTTTCTCGACCCTTTTTTTTGACTCATGAGTCACGATTAGCTTGCGTATTATTTTATCGATCTATAAAAAAATTCATAAAAATGCACAAAAGTAATATAAATAGGGATGTGGTGATAACTTAATTTTCATAAACTCATTACTATTTGAAAGAATGAGGGGACTAAGTATAATTTCATTTCTTCTAATTTTTTTGATCATCCATGAATTAATTTGTGTGGAATTAGTAGCATCAAGATCCATGCAACAATATAATAATTCCTACAAGGAATTATTTTCTCAATACAAGATTGCTAGAGAGCTAAGAGGTTTTGGTTTAATTAGAGGCAAAATAACAATGTCACCACCACAATCTAATAAGGAATCTCATATGCATCTCCCTCCTATGATGCCACCACCACGAACTCCACCACCACCGTCACCACCATCTCTGAGGGTACCACCACCACCACCCCTACCTCTATCAACACCAATAAGTTGAACTTGAACTGACAAAGGCAGATATAGAATTTTGAGTTTATAGATTCTGAATTCTGAAAAAGATAGATTAGTTTTTTTTAATACAAATATAAGAGCGCTTAAAATTAGTGATTTCTGTCAAATTTGTAAGTAGTAATACCCTTTTTGTGTTTGTATGTGTGCGCGCGCTTAGATTTGGTTGTGTGAGGATGGATTCAGGATTATTGTGAGTGTTTTTTATTTTTGTTTTCTTTTGTAGTTTTTTTAAAATAATTTTTAAAAAAGAATTGATTAAAAACAATTGTACCAATACTGTTATCAAGCTAAGCTTGAAGAGCTAGTGTGTTTTAATATGGACTCAAAATAGTCTAGTTTGGTGTTGGTTCTATTTTTTCAAGTTATATAGGTTGATAATGTAAACAATTTATTTTACATTATCAATGTAATCTAACATCATCTATTTTTGATATTATTTAATATTTGTTATTGATAATATTATATGTTCGTAATTACCTTTCAAATGATTTGATTTGGAAGTCACTAGCGATTGACAAAGTCAACCAACAAGCTCATTCACAATCGATAGTCAATTCAATTTATGGCAGAAGTAATTGATAATTTAATCCAATTTAACCATCATTTTCATATCCATAAAGCAAAAAAAGATAACTCTGAGTTGTTCAAATAGTGACGTTGATTTTTTCAACCCTTTGACTTAGGATTAAATTGAGATGTTGTGATGAGCTAATTTTCAAGAAACTTCATTACTATTTGAAAATTTGACACAATGAGGTCAATATCTATAATTTAATTTCTTCTAATATCCTTGATTATCCATGAAGTAGCAAGATCCATCCAATAATATGATAATTACTATCAGTAAACAAAATAAATTTATTTATTGTGATTTTTGAGATAACATGACATCTATTAGTTTTGAGGGGTAAAGGTGGGTCAATATATTTTTCCAATAGCTGGGGAGTATTTTAAAACTTTTTTTGTTTTTAAAAATAAGTTCTTCGATAAAACACATAAAAATGAATGGATAAAGTAAATTGAAATAACTATTTATAGTAAAATAAATAACTAAAATAAAATGAATGAAGTATTTATCCGTCAACCACAACATTAAAGATGATAAAGACTTCAATTTCAATACCGTGTGTTACCTTAAAAAGTCATGGTACAAGACGAAAGCATTTAATTGTTTGGGGAAAATGATGAGACTACTAAAAAAAACTATTTTTATTAAGATATTCATCACGTTATAATGCTTTTCCTTTTGATCAAACTATTATTTTGGTTTTAATGTTGAATTTGAGTTGCTTTCATTTTGTCAAAATTTTAATTAGATTATTTAATATTCGTTTGGAGGACTATGTTAGGTATGTGATCATCTTATTTAAGATTTTAGTTGGCTAGGACACAAATGTATATATGATCTATAATAAATTTTCTTTGGTGCGAATTTGATAATATTTTTTTTACAATGAATGACGATAACAAAATTTGCACTGGAGACTTCATTATATATATGCTCTAATATTCTACATTGAAATTGTATTAAACAACATATCTAAAAACTTAAGTTATTACGATGAGACCTACACATAAAATTTCATGTCTACTAATATCCTTACTCATCCATAAATTAGTGATGGTGGACTACAAGTATTGCAATTTTTCAGTAGAAGCATTAAAAAGTTTAAACCGAAATATCGGTGGAGGCGCACCAGCACCGCCAACACCAAAGCATAATGAAGGACATCATTGGAAGCGCGATGTGTTGTTCATCTTGTATTCCTAAGATATTTAAAACAAAACAGAAATTGGAAAAACAGAAAGAAGATCAAGCCCACTGAATGCACAGTGTCCCCTTAAGGAAATTATTCCCCTCTAGTATCCGAGGTTTGATTTGGAATATGTCCTCCCAGGATAGAATGATCTCAATCACCAGTGTATTGATACCCAAAACGCTGGTGTCAGCGAGCCACTCAACGGCAGTAAAGTACATTTAGAATACTAGATTTAGTAGTAGAAGAAGAAGTCCAGAAATTGGTTCTTTTAAAATGAGAGGAAATCCCTCAATTTATAGAAA